ACTTTCTAATTAAAAAAGGAATGAGGTATAAAAGAAAGGGAATATGGCTATCTGTGCATGTAAATAAAAAAACAACAACCTGGTGTATTCAGTTGGGTGGCTAATGTCCTACAGAGAGTACAAGTTCATTACCAGAAAAATTCTTGAATGTACATATCTGGGTATATTACTTCTCACAGCAATTACCTGCCATTCATTGTCTGCATTTTTAGTAAAATTAATACATTTACTAATGCAAAGTAGTGATTTCTATCCGTAATGCCAAATACAGTGGTATTTAAAAGTATCTATTAAAAGTGTGTAGATAATACAAACAGGGATTGAAATGCCCAACTATTGACACTGACCCCAGTTCTCTCACTGGTCACACTGATGTGTTTCAGGACCTCTTTGTAAAAAGCACTAAGACTAGACTTTAAGATTGTGAATGCTGCATCCATTTGAGGCGAGGGTTCAGGATCTGAAGAAAGGACTGCACACAAATGAATACACTAGAGAAGAAATATGAATTTAGAAGGCATGGGGAGCCAGGTGGAAACCTTTCTCTGGTGGAGAGGCTCTTTGACTTCTGGATTGCCATTGCTTTTATTCACTTGAATACACATTTGCCCTTTAGAAATGCAAACAGGCATATCAAAGGTAAAGTTTGGTACACAGTAAAAGGATTATCAGGTTAGGGAATTGGCCAACAGTAGGGCAATATTATGCTGATTTTCATCCCTGCTGAATATCCCATTCATATGGTACTTGTTGGTCTTAGCTTCTGGCACAAGATCAGTGAGTAGATCTGTTTGCTCATAAATCTTTAATTGCATAAATGTTAAGGACCAGTAGCCAATAACAAAAATCTAATTCCTCACCCATATGTATCCTAGCCACTTATCCAAATGCAATTGATTTTCCTTAAGAAAAAAAATTCAGTCGATTCATGTATTTCATTCTGCAATGTTTTAAATGAAAAGAAAAAATGTATTTAACTGCTTATTTTAGAACTGAGGTGAATGTCATGCAGTTTTATGAAAATGTAATTATTTAAATTGTGAATGGGTTAGAATCAGTCTTAATGCAAAAGTTCACCAGTTAATTTATTTTTGGTGGAGGTTAGTGTGGATGTGTGTGGGAGGAGTCAGGGATGGTGGGGGTTGGGGTGAGGGAGGGTTCTTTGCTAGCAGGTCTGACTCTTCTTCCTTCACCAGATTATAAGGCAGAAATCTCCATTCAGGAATGGGCCCTGGTGGTCTGCCTTTCACCATTTCTTCTCTTGTAGGATTCAGATACTGAATATTTTTGCACCCACTTAGCTGCTCATTAAAAAATAAAATTCACCTGAACTCTAAAATGCACTTTATAAGAAGAATGTTTTCATTACTGCTCATGATGAAATAATGTGTGTGTTTGTGTGTATGTGTTTGTGTGTGTGTGTGTGTGTGTGTGTTGAGGGAAATGTCCTCCAGTTCCCAGTGAAACGGTTGTCAGCATTTCTGGGGAACCTGAGGGTACTTTGCTAAGCCTCAGGAGCTCTAAGGTAGACATCAGAGGTGTCCTGGGCATTGCAAGTGGCCTGGGTGTCAGATGATGGTATACTTATGTAAATTAACCGGATGTCACACTGAGAAAACCCCTCCCACTTGGGATAAGAATTGGGGCTGATCCTTGAAAAGTAGGGAGGCATTTCTTAAAATTGTAGCTGCCCTGCATGTCTGCCATATTCTGCATTACAGTCAGGTGCCTGAACTCCCTTCAGAGTCCTGGAGAAAAGCAGGCTGTCAGACAACCCGTCAAGGCTGAGTCAGAAGTGAACCAAATTCTCCCCTTTCCCTTCAAGCCCCGCTTCAGCGCCACTCCCGCCAGGCTGGTGAACAGCAGTGGGTGATCTCGGAGAGAGTGGAGCAAAAGCCTGACTCAGGGCCTTAAAAAGGACAGAAAGGCACACAATTAGGACCCAGGAAACGGGCAAGGAGGCTGCCCAGGGGAGTTGTTGGGAGTCCTTGCAAATAGCACAGTGCTCTAAGCACGCCCAGCAAGGTGGCTGCTGCAGACGCAGGGGTAGGGGTCTCATGGAGAGACGGCCGGCCCTGCTGCTACTCACACGCATCCGGCCTCCATCCACCCCTGCTTGCAAGGATCCAGAGGAGGCGGCCCTGGGCAGGGCAGGAATCCTGGGGTTCCCATCTGCCCGGGTCCCCCCAGGGGGCCTCTAGTATACTCCCCACGCAGAGGACCATCTCCAGGCGCTCAGCCCGAAAGCCCTGGAGACCACCTTTCCGACGCCTGGACGGCTCCCGGGGCTGAGGCTGTAGGGGCAGCGGCGCCCTCTGTCCCTCTCTGTCCCTCTCTGTCCTGGTGCCCTGAGACCCTGAACGCCCAGGTGCACAGCTGCCAGTGCCACCGCAGGCTGGGGGTGCGGATGGGGCCTCCAATGCCGGTGCCAGGGTTTCCCCCATGGGCCTCCAGGACGTATGGGCGGTTGCTAAGCTAAACAAAACCCTGCCTGGCTCCCTGCTAATTGAGCCCTGACTGTAGCTCCTACAGCTGAGGGCTATGTCCACAATAGGTACCTGCTGCAACCAAGGATTCAGGATCTGGAGAAGGGGCTGCGACATAAATGGATACACTAGGCAAGAAATATAAATTTAGAAGACATGGGAACCAGGAGGAGACCTTTCTCTAGGGAATGGCTCTCTGAATGTCTGGACCCATTGCTTTTTATTTACTAGAATATACATTTGCCCTTTAGCAAAGCAAACAGACATCAATGGTAAGGTTTGGTAAACAAGAAAGGATTATTAGCTTTATGGGATTGCCTTCAGCCATTCAGCCAACAGCAGGTAATAATATGCTGATTCTCAGCCTTTGCTCAATATCAGAGTCCATCAGCCTTCTGGCGGACTTCTCACATCTACATACTAAACCACTTTTTGGTCCTTGCCTCTAGCAGTACCCAGGCTCCCCTCCTGGATACCTGCCTTAAAGGAACACTGACCAATTTCTCCATCACCCTTTGAGCTTCACCTGACTGGCCAGGCTCTGGGCTGAGGGTGAGGAATTTGAACAGAGGGTGATAACCCTGCTTCCAAAAGAGCTGGAACTTCTTTAGTCTGACAAAACCAACTGTGCCAGGGCAGGGGGCGGCCAGCTCTCTGGCAGCAGGGAAGGCTGGTAAACAAATAAACAAACAAACACACCCCAAACACCTGTATTCCAGTGAGGGGACTTGAAACAGCAGTGCCCACTCCTCCCCACCCCCCTTCAAGGCCAGGTTCAAACTATGCCACTAAAAATGACACAGCGGGTGCCTCACCCAAGAACTTGTGAATAAGATGGGGCCCTGACAGCTGAACTAGTAACATCCACATACAGTGTATGTGGCTAACACCCATCTAAGTGGACCAAGAGATTTAACAACTACAATGTTTCAGAACCCAAACTATAATCAGATCTATTCCATACAAACCCCAAGGCAGATATGAGAGGTAAGAGCTTCTAATTAAGGGGAATACATTTTGTTTTGCTAAATCTGAGGACTTTTTTGTGAAAGATAGAGTGTGTGAGTATGATGATCCACAAAAGTGTGGGGTCAGTTCTGAGCGAGATTACAAAATAAGATATTGACAGGTTTATCCATTAATGTTCAGGAGATACATTTTCTGATTTGGGGCAGGGAAAGGAGATGAATAAATTAACTGACATTCATGAGTATATACTTTAGTCGTGTGGCTAGTTACCAAACAGGATTCTGAGCCACAGTTAATTTCCATTGGTAATGCCAGGTTTTGTATTTCCTTGTAGAGACCTAACCAATCTTCTACCTATGATATCTACATGCTGTCAGGATCCCTTTTCTCAGTCCAACCCCCACAAATAAGCATGTCTTGGACACTTTTCTACTTCAAGGATCTAAGCACTGAGATGGAAGAGAAGGGATGTTCTTTTCCCACAGTGAGGAATAATCTGCTTCCTATTACACTAGGTGTCAGGTGAGGGCCCCAGGACACAAGCACAGCAGATAGCAGCCACTCCACTCAGCACTAACTGGGGGAAAGAACACTCATGTGCTTAAGAGGGATGAGAGGCCAGGCTGATAAGGCTAGCCAGGGCCTTGGATGTTGGAAGAGGAAAGAGCACACAGTTGTCGGCGTGCAACACACCAGCACACAGTGAAGAGCCAAAACGAAGGAAACATCGAGAGCAGTGAGGGAAACTAGAGGCAGAAGTCTCAGGGTCAGAGCAGGGAAGCTGGTCTAACTTTGTCATGATGCAAGGACACCAGAACCTTCCATGTTTCTCATATTTTCATTGTTCCTCTTTCTTAGCAGCTAATCAGGTAGCCGTAGAGGGGTATGAGGTCAGAACATTGGAATATTTTCATAGAGTACCATTCAGGATTGCAAAGCTGTGTCCTAAAGATTGTTTCTTTCATAAGGATCTTGCTTTTAATTCATAGAATAGTTAAATCCTCAGTACATTAGGTTACTCTCAATGCAAGTAGAATCATTTCTAGAATATACACTTTCAGCGTTTAAACTGCTAATTATCGGATTGGTTCTGGGCTCTTACAGCTGACCAGCCTCTCAGGGTGGAGCCCCACTAACCTGATTCATAAAATCTTTGGTGCTCTCTTTGTCATCTATGAATTGCCTTCAAAATAAAGATATAATTTCTTAGACTGGGAGTCAAGATCATTCAAGATGGCGCCATGCTCCTTGTGAACATTAACATTGTCTTGTCCTGGTCACCCTGAGCCACCCTGTGCTCCAAGCAGGGGTCCCCTACACACTTTCTTGAACCCGTCATACCCTTCTCTGCTTTGGAGCACTTCCTGCTCATGCTGGCTGCTGCCTGAAGCACTCTGCCCTCCCCCTTCTCCACTTCTTGAGGGTCGTGGCTATATATTCCTTGTTTTGTCCACAGAGATGAGCAGAGTCAGATAGAGAGAAGTCCCATAGTTCCATAGCTGTGATAGACTTTTAGAGAGATGAGATCTACTTAAAATATTAGAGAAAATAATATTTTAAAGTGTTAAACAGATGAAATCATATCAAAGTGAATAAAATAAAGAATGTAAGTTCTTCTTCTCTGTGGACATACCATAAGGTTGACCAGTGTTTTTCCTCCCACACATTAGTCCAGCTGCAGAGAACTAAACCATTTTTCTCCCCAAAGATGGCGTTACATTATGTACTCTGTTCTGCAACTTTAAAAGTTTATCGTTCACTTACTATTTCCTGACCCTTTGTCCATGTCAGGACAGATGGATGACTTTTAAAAAAATCAGTCGGAGAAAAGCCTTAAGCATGTTTCTCCCAGAAGAGGCCCTGCCACCTGTACCAGAGCTGCCAGTAAAACGGAGGGAATTGAGCAAAGTAGGACCCAGGGCATTTCTCAATGTAGGTCATCTTCCTTGGCGCCTTCCCGATCACTATGGACCTGCTCCTAGAGAGGGACACTCCTAGCCCGGCGCCTCTGTGGGAAGGATCCCCTGTAGAAAAGAGAACCAGGGTCAGGATTGGGGTCCCGCTCCCTGAAGAAGGAAAATTCCTAGTCAGTGAACACAGCCATGGGCGGAATTGGGGCATCCTTCTCACCATCATTCCCTTTCCCTTCCTTTCTTCCACAGGCTCAGTGGTTTGTCTTTTGAGAGTTACTTCATAATTACTGTTCCTGTATCCAACCCCCGCTCTGCCAGCACCTCTTATCTCTCCCACGTCCAGAGACCTTGCCCTTCATCCTCTCCACCCGCCCCCATGTTCTCTTGGTCCCGAGGATAATTTGGAAGCCATTGGGATCACAAGAACATGATTCAGCTCTCCCGTGACCTGATGACGAACTTTACCTGCTCCCTCAGGTTGGAGTCCCAGGTCAGAGTAGGGAGCTGCCCTGAATGTCCATGATGAGCAGCCAGGATGCACCCCAACTCCCGCGCGCAGCCAGTCCCAGGAGAGAGGACACTACAGGTTGTGCAAGGGAGCATCATGAGGCCAGGCGCCCAGCCAGGGAAAAACTAACCCCAAACCGAACCTCCAACCCGGCGCCCTTTATTTCCATTCTAAAACGTACCGCTCACTCCCGTAACAGAAGTCAGCCCACCGCAGCCCCAGTGCGCCTCTCCATCCTGAGTTGCCCTAAATTGCACCCATTCTCCTCCCCACGCCACTCAAGGGCCTCCGTGTCTTCTCAGCGCTCTCTGCCTTCAGAATCCGCCTTCCGGGCTTTCGTTTCTGCTGGAACCAAACAGAGGCCCGAGCGCCTTACTAGGCGTCTGTCTGCACAACAACCCGGCGGTGCTTTCCTCCGAGCGGGGGAGGCTCCAGCCCAGTCCCCAGGGGGCAGGGCGGTCCCTGCACGGGAAGCCCCGCTTCTGGGCGCCTGGGCTGCTGCCTACGGGTTGCGGGAGGAGGGAGAGCCGATTGGGCCGGGCGCCACCTCTTCCCCCGCCCTCCCGGCCCGCTGCGCCCGCCCCCGGGAATGTCGGGACTCCTCCCAGGGCCCTGACTTGAACTGCAGGGGCTGGTACGGGCCTGGGCCCAACTCCCGCCCCCAAAGTTCTGGGTCTCTCTCCCCGCGCGGAGCCGTCCGCTGGCGCGATGGTGGCCGTCTGGCTGGTGCACGTCGGGCAGAAGCTGCTGCTCTGGGGCGCGCTCAGCGCCGTCTCCCTGGCGGGCGTCACCCTCATCCTGAGCTTGTTGCAGATGATGGCGAGCTACGCGCATAAGTGGCTGCAAATGAGGCGCATCCCCAGCGTTTCGGGTGCCTACCCCTTGGTGGGACACTCCCTGGTCCTGAAACAAGGAGGGAAAGGTAAGGGACTGCGCGCGCCCGGGCCAGCTGCATCCCCGCCACGGGCTGTTGGGCCCCTTACCGGCCTGGGGCACCAGGACTGGAGCTGCAGGCTGCTGGGTGAGGGGCGACTCTATCACCCCCTGGATATTGGGTTCCCAGTTCTCTCCAGTTTTCATTACACATAAGTGCAGTGTTCTAAACTCCCGTCTTTCTGCCTTTTCTCTTCTTATTTTCCCAACTGCTGGCTGCTGCTATCTGAAAACACCACCTGCAGCCCTAGCCGGCTTGTCTCAGTGGATAGAGCTTGGCCTGTGGACTGAAGGGTCGCAGGTTTGATTCAGGTCAAGAGCATATGCCTGGGTTGCAGGCTCTATCCAGTGGGGTTGGGGGTGGGCATGCAGGAGGTAGCTGATCAATGATTCTCTCTCATCATTGATGTTTCTCTCTCTCTCTCTCCCTCTCCCTTCCTCTCTGAAATCAATAAAAATATATTTAATAAGAAAAACAACAAAAAACACTGCCTTTTTTCTTTTGTCTTTACTGTTTAAGTCCTAAAGGTAGACACAACTTATAACTAACTCTCTCTCTCTCTCTCTCTCTCTCTCTCTCTCCCTCTCTCTCTCTCTCCAAAATTAGAGACGAGAAATGCACTTGATACCAGAGCCTCTCCCTCCAGAAATCACAACACTTCACCACAACTTTCATTCCTCCTTGGCCCTTTTAGGAGGTTGCATAACAACATGAATTATGATGTTATTCACCAAGGCCTGCCCCATAAGTCATACAGCAAGTTTCAGAAGTCTTATTTGTTAAGGAGTGAATTGGTTTTTTATTGAAATCATCTTTTGAAGCTGATAGCCTTTATGTTATGTTATGATAAGGGTAGAGGGGTCACTTTAAGTTAGAAAGCTCCTAAAAGTCCCTGGTGTTTGGATGCCCCATGAGGGAGGGTGAGTTAGATCTTAGCACTTCATCTTCGTGGCTGGATAAGTTGAGATGCCCAGAACTGAAAAGATTTGCCCCAAATGACATATTTTAAAATGAGCCCAGAACTAGAATCCAATCACCCCTCAGTTTAACTGAAGACGTTTTATAGACTGAACATCAATTCCAAAGCTTAAAGGATTATTTCTTTTCCACTTTCCTTTCTCCAAATAAAAATAATGCTGTCATTTAAACTTCACAGGAAGACATGAGGCCTCATGGGAGAGTGTTACCAAAATACAGAAAATGTTTCTGGTAGAAGAAATCCCAGTAAACTTTTAACCAACCAGAGATCAATGCGACTAATGCTGCAAGTGATGCAGCAAATTTTGATATGTGAAAACTACATTTGTAAACATCACCATGGCAAACACTAAAGGCAGAGCTAATCTTCCCTTCTACCCAAAGGCTTTATAATATTAAAAAATAATTGTGAAGAAATATAGACCCCCTCCTCCTCAACAGGAAACCATATACTTAAGAAATCTCATCATAGTCTTTTGGGGGAATTTCTCTAAGAATTGAAATCTCTAGTGAATAAGATCCATTTCAAAACAAACTGTGAGTTATTGGATTATTTTAAGTAATTCTCCTTATAGTTACTTCTGGAGAGAAGAGCATGGTAACGCATTATCTTTCTCAAGGGGACTTTTTAATGCATCAACAACTACTGGATCTGGGCATGAGACCAACCTTTGCTCCTTTTCTGCTTGTAACCAAAGTGCTTGACTTTGACAAGTTGTTTAAAACTCTCTAAGTTAGAGTGTGTTACCCTTTACAGGTAAACATCACTATGTTACAGTTACTTTCAGGATTAAATTTAATGCGTACATTTTCTAGACCATTGTCCAGAACTTGGTTTGAGTCCATTTTTTCATTGTCAATCATGCACTTATTTGAGGCCCTCCTTTGTGCCCATCATTGAGCTCAGCAAAACTGGGCATAGCACAACATTTAAAGGTATATTCCCCACCCTCAATACCCTTGTGTCTTATACAAGAGGCTGCTTTGATTGATTACCAAATTTCCCTATGTAATCCCTACATTTTCCTCAGTGCTTCTCAGTAATTCTTTTTAGCTTAATGATTCTTTCTTATATTCACTATGACATTTCTTCCACATTTTTGTCACATTCTCAAACCCATTTTTTTCCTATATCGAAGGAAATGTAGACATAGCCTATTAATTATATACTAGAGGCCCAGTGACAAAATACGTGTATGGATAGGGTCCCTAGAAGCTGCTGGCCACCAGCCTGGGCCTTCCTTCATTCTGCACCACCCCCTGGTGGTCAGCACATGTGATAGCAAACGATGGAACTTCCAGTTGGTATATTAGGCATTTATATATATTGATATTGTGTGTATGTGTTTCTCTTCTACTAACAAAATATTTTCAAATTTTCTTCCAGCTTATTTTTTATTCACTTCAGAATGATAAAAATCCCCTTCTTTATAAACATTTATTCATTCAAATAATAATAAAACTACAGGAAAGTTGTAAAAATAATATAGAGTTCGCATATGCCATATACCAGCAAGCCTCCTCTGATGATGTTATTTCACAGAATTAGTATCATTATCAAAACTAAAAAATTATTATTTGTCCAATGTTCTTTACAATACTACAGTCCTTATTTGAATTTTACAACACTTCCTAGAGTTCTTTTTCTGTTCCATGACTCAATTGCAAATCTCACCTGGCATATAGTAGTTGTGCTTCCTTGTGTTATGTTCTTCAATATCAATCTTTTCTAATCTGTGATCGTTTGTCAGTCTTTCCACACACATCAAGACCTTGACACATTTTCTGAGACAGGTATTTTGTAGAATCACTCTAAGTTTGGATTTGCCTGCTGTTTTTTTCAGAGTTTCATTGAGGTTATGAATTTTTGGCAAGAACACCATGTGTGATGTTAAAAGCTTTCCCTCTAAAATCAGGAAGACAAGGATGCTCACTCTCACCATTTTATTCAACATAGTATTATAGGTCCCAGTCAGAACATTTGGCCAAGAAAAAGAATGCAGACGACATGATTTTTCATATAGAAAACCCTAGATACTCCACCCCCAAAAATGTTAGAATTAATGAATAAATTTAGTAAAGTTGCAGGATATAAAATCAATATACAAAAATCACTTGCATTTCTTTATGCTAACAAAGGACTACCAGAAAGAGGAATTAAGGAGACAGTCCCATTTACAATTGAATCAAAAGGAATAATATACCTAGGAATAAGTTTAACCACGGAGGTGAAAGTCCTGTACACTGAAACCTATAAGATAGTGACTGGAGAAGTGATACAAACTAATTCTATCATTACTTATTCTGTTGCACAAATTGTTTCAGTTTGGAGCATTAGGAGCTTTTCAGGTTGGCTGTTTGGTGTTTCAACATGGCCCATCATTTTTTGAGCACTTCCTTATTTTCTGCCACCATAATAAATTCCACTCTTCTTGTATTTTTCTCTGCCTCGGCCCTAAAATCAATGACTTCTCCAAGGGGAATTGGTTTATTTTATTGTAGGACAGTATTTAGAAATCCTGAGATCTGGTGCCTGTACTAGGAATGGGAGCCAACCTGGGAAGTTATATTACCAGAAATCTTGTTTAGAATATCAGAGAAGACTTTGCAGCAAAATCACATTTAAGATGACAATTGAAGAATAAGTGAGTGTTATTAGACAAAAAGCACTATGAATAAGAGGTTCCTACAAAGAGAAGAGGTTCTATGGAGCCCCTGAGAACAACCTCAGTGTTCTTAGGGAAGGCATGTCCTAAGGTCATTTGAGAAGTTGAAGGATTTGTAAAACAGAAGAGTTTTTTAAAATAATTTTTTTATTGAGGTAACATTGGTTAATAACATCTAAATTTCAGGTGTACAATAGTATAATTTGACGTCTATACACTCTTTTGGGTGCTCACAACCAAAAGTCTAGTTTCCATCTATTACCATTTGTTTAACCCCATTTACCTACTTTGCCCTCTCTCCCTTCTCCTTCTCCTCTGTAACCACTATTCTGTTCTCTGTATCCTTGAATTTTTTTTATTTCATTATATGTGTTAATTTGTTACTTTTTTCTTTTATATTTTGCATATGAGTTAAATCAGACTGTTTTTGTCCTTGTCTGTCTGACTTATTTCACTTAGCATAATACCTGTAAGGTCCATTCATGTTATCACAGATGCCAATATTTTTATCTTTTAAGAAATATATATTCTTTATTGATTTCAGAGAGGAAGGGAGAAGGAGAGAGAGAGAGAGAGAGAGAGAGAGAGAGAGAGAGAGAGAGAGAGAGAGAGAGAGAAACATCAGTGATGAGAGAGAATCGTCAATTGGCTGCCTTCTGCATGCCCCACACTGGGGGTCGAGCCTGCAATGCGGGCATATGTCCTGACTGGGTCAATGGTCAACTACAGAGTCATGCCAGCTGGGCCAATATGATCACATCTTCTTTATCCATTCATCCACTGATGGACACCTAAGGTTGCTTCCATATCCTCGCTATTGTAAGTTATGCTGCAGTTATCATTGGGGTGCATACCTCTTTTTGAATTAGTGTTTTCATGTTCTTCAGATAAATACCCAGAAGAGGAATTGCTGGATCATATCTTAGCTCTAATCTCAATTTGCTGAGGAACTGCAATACTGCTTTAGAGAGGGTGAAAGGGAGTATCTATCTACCAGGGCTGTGGAGTTGGGACAGGCATCCCTTTCTACAGAAGAGTAGCCTGTGCAGGTCAGGAGAAACTGAACAACCTCAGTGTTCTTGGGGAAGGCATGTCATAAGGTCACCACAAACAGCCACAGTGCTTGGCATTTCTCAGTTAACCAGGTTGTTAATATATATCATTCATAATTAATTAGCCTCATAATTCATTCATTAATAATTTAGTAAGGACAACTGTGTGGTTTAGCTTCAAGATGTGAAAGATATGAGAGACATTGTGTGAATAGCCCAAAGTAAAAACAGTAAAAAACCCAAAAAGACACAGTAAGGAACTTATTTAAAATTAAATATTTTAAAGAGTTTTTCCAGCAGCTGATGAATTACACTGAAGAGAACAGACATGTACCAATGATAATATTCTGGCTTGGCACAGTACCAGTAATACTCATGTACAAAGCCGAAACTATAGAGGTGAGTTGATAGTGACTATGATCAATGTATCACTGTATATTTGATGGTGTGAGAATCTCATCAGAATAAACAGCAAATATATGTCCTTATATTTAATTAAATTCAATACAATGAGGATTCCATTAAATATCTAAGGCTTTGAAGATGCCATTAAATGCTTTCCTGATATAGTGTGAGTTCTGGGAAGAGTAGCAGCTTCTACATGTCTATACACATTTGGTATCAAGTAATATATTTGTCCTTTTTTGGGGGGAAGTCTTCAATTGAACAGAACCATAAATAGATTATTCTACATGGTGAGCTCATATCATCTACCAGGCACTGTTTAAAGATTACACAAATATAAGACTAATAAAATTTAAGTGTTTCCCTTAAGATGCTCAGAGTATCCATTATACTTTTATGATTTCAAGTTAATTTTTTAAAAGAGAACACTAATCTGATATTGATGGGGAAGATGTTGTTAATTCACGCTATTGAAATTACTCCTAAAAATTATTTATCTTTTTTTTACTTACTATCATGACATTGTGGGTATTATCTGATGGTTTGATGACAAAGGCTTTGGGTTAGGGTGTAAAGATAAGATAAAAATACCTTCAAAATCAACAGCAGAATTTCCTAGGGTTGCTGGGCTTGGATACATCTTTCTTACTCATTGTGGTAAAATTCTTAGAGTGTATCTGGCACCACACTGCCCAATCTACTGTTCCAGAGGAGAGAGCGAGAGGGCCACATGTGGGATGTCAGCCATTGCTGGCCTAGTGTAAGTGGGCTTAGTACATATGGATAGAGATCTGTCCAAAGTAGGGAACTGCAGCAAGATCCTGAGAGGCATTTTGTGCATATGCTCATCCCTTCTGCTTTACTTTGGCTCCAGGCACCTAATTATACCCATAGTTCCCAATGCTACTTATATCCTGGAGACATTCAAATGAGTACCTAGTATAAGCCTCAATCCTGAGCTTCATACCTGCTTTCAGACTGTGGCAACTTGAATACCTCCAATTCAATATACCTGATAATGAACTTGTGATTTCCATCTCCCTTAATGTGCTCATACTTTGCTTCACCCACCTTCTCTTCCCTCACTCCTACCCTTAGAATAAACAACTCCACTTGGCTCCTAATTCATGGCAGGAGTCAGGAATTATCTTGGACATTTTCCTTTCAGTCAACTCCAGCTAGTCTCTAAGAGTGAGTGACAGTTGTATGCTCCAAACTCTATTTGAATTTCTTTGAGTCATAGCAATGAAAATGAACCACAAAGAAGTAATTGTTATGAAATGTCACTTTAGAAAGTATTGTATTCTAGCCCAGTATTCTTATAATTAAGGTTGCGTTCATATCTCTATCTCTCATTTTTCTTTTCCCACTTTCTAAGGTAATTTTAACTAGCTCAAAGCAAATTGACAAGTCTCATCTGTACAGGTTCCTACAACCATGGCTTGGACTAGGACTTCTTACCAGGTAAGTCAGTGTAAATCGATAAAGCTGTCTTGTGTGTAACATGTCAGGCATTGACACGGGGTAGTTTTCCTGTAGCAAGAATGTGCAGTCGGGTAGTAGGGAGAAGCTGAAAGATTGGATGATAATGGGCCTGTGAGAGACAGGAACCCAGGTGTAGAGTAATCTCCAGCCATGGTATTCAATAATGATGATCACCAGTGTTCCAAGGAGAGTTAGAAAGTCCCAATGTAGAAATGGAGTATGGCACAGGGGAGTTTTGAGCAGGGAAATCTTGAAAATTCAATGAAACAGGCAGTCATCCTCAGAGAAGTAACTGGAGCACAGTAACCTCAGTCCTTGAGCTGCCATCCAGCAACAGGACCCCATCAACTGAGAAAGAGAAAGCAGGACTTCGGTGGGAACTTTGTAGACTTTGAAGTTGTAAGAGATCAAAGTAGACTCATGGAGCTCCTTGATCTTCAGAGGGTTAAGGTTGGATACAGGGGGGAAATTTCTCATTTTTGGAAACTCAGAACTTAGAAATTTAGAAAAATTCTTAAAATTTTCAAATTTGATGAGAGCTCTTTTAAATATTAGTAATATAGAAGGATATCTAAAATACGCCCATCCTGTAACTGTATATGAATCTCCCCTTGACATTCTGACCAAAGTATTTGGGAATCTGTAATTAAGAAGAATTTGTTGTCTTGACTAAGCTTTATTTGCTTTGGATGTTGCTTTTCTCTTCTTTGTAACCATGTCATGTATTTCTAGTACTGGAAACAAATGGCGCTCCAGGAGAAAAATGTTAACACCCACTTTCCATTTTACCATTCTGGAAGACTTCTTAGATGTCATGAATGAACAAGCCAACATATTGGTTAATAAGCTTGAAAAACATGTTGACGGAGAAAAATTTAACTGCTTTTTTTACATCACTCTTTGTGCCTTAGATATAATCTGTGGTAAGTCTCATGGATTTGTTTCTAGAGCTGTGGTGTAAACATACAATGGTCCAAATAGAAAATAACATTTCACTGGGAAGGCAAATGAAGGGGTTGGAAAGGATATTGGCTTCTTTGGGGCGGTCCTTCTGCTAAATTAGGCTCCTGAGAAGCAGTACCCACTGCCAGGGCTTCAAGCAGAGCCAACCTGCCAGGAAGGTCAGAGGGAAGAAGGAGCAGGAACAGGGAGTAGGAGGAACAAAAGGTGCAAGAGTGAAAGGGGAAAGGAACAATTCTAAAATATATAAGAATTGATCTCTTTTTTGAAGTGTTTGCCACTGGAAAATAAACAGAAGGCATGTGCATGAATTGAATGGTTGCTTCTCACCCATATTTTGCAGAGACAGCTATGGGCAAGAATATTGATGCTCAGACTAATGATGATTCTGAGTATGTCCGTGCAGTTTATAGGTAAACGGAGCCCTTCTAATTATTTTTAAAGTTGTTACAGATTTAAGCTTTAAAAAATATCGCTAATAATTTTTTGTCTGTGTTGTATCTTTTTCATTGTTTCACAATGAATTATTGCACTAAAAATCAACCTAATCATTTAAGCATGTATTTTAACAGTAGAGGATTTATTGTATAAATTAAGGCACACGTAGGCTCTGGTATAATTTTACATGATTATTTTGTGATATGTTGAGAAATTACATTATGATGCTTAGTGATAAAGGTAAAAAATAAAGATAAAGACAATACTTTTTGCATGATAACCACTAGGTATAAAAAATTATTCATTAAAAAATCTTGTAGCTATTATTCCAGAATGTTAGCTGTGATTATTGTTTTGTGTTATGTGCTTTGCTTTCTTGTTTGTGTTGTTATTAATTATTTCTTCCCATATTTCCTGCATTGAGTGTGTATTATTTTTTAATTGAAATGGTCATATTTATTTTGAAAATTGCTTGAGATTATTCAACTATGAAAAGGCACTGCTGGGGTTTGATTTGAGGAATTCTGTCTTTAAGTCCACTGCTCATTTCATTTTAATACATATTAGCATATGTAATCTGCTATTTTTACACAAGATTGTGAGTTGTTTTATAGTGGTCCACAGAACAGAATAACAGGGAGACAAGCATCAAAATAAATAAGTATAAACTTATAAACTGTAATAATTGCTTAGAAAGAAAGAATAAAGTTGATATTCAAGAAGAAAACAGCAATAGAGCCCACAGATTGAGTGACCAGGAAAGGCTACTCTGCCGAACTGGCCTGTAAGCTGTTCTCTAAGGAAGAGATCATGTCAAGGTCTTTGTGCTCTACCACTGAAAATGTTGAGGGACAGAGATTTGACCGAGAGGCACTTTACTGGAGAAGAGGATAGCCAGAGGAGTAATAAGCAAATGTGTGCACATTAAACAGGCAGATTTCATACCACAGTGTGATATGAGAGATACAGGCAGCTTGGGGAAGTCCGGAACTCTTCCTGGAGAAATAGAAGGAGAGATCAGATGGCCATCTAATAAGGTGTTTTATAATGGACTAGAGGCCCGGTGCACAAAAATTTGTGCACTGGAGGGGGCGTCCCTCAGCCCAGCTTGCCCCCTATCACATACTGGAAACCCTCAGGGTATGTCCTACTCCCTGCTCCCCTTGGGGAGTGGGCCTAAGCCACTGTCTGGCCTCCCTTTGTGGTAGGCGACTGGGCTGATCAGGGGAAGGCACCAGCCCCATCACCCCCTGTTGTAGCCACTGCCAGTCACCGCAGCCACCAAGGTGTTTTCATCAACAGGGACTCCAGTCCCTTTACCAGGAAATAATGACAACTTTCTTTAGGCATTTTCAAGATGTGTCTTTCATAGGATATGACATTTCTTTCTTTTTTTATCCTCACCTGAGGATATGTTTCCATTGATTTTTAGAGAATGTGGAAGAGAAAGGGAAAGACAGAGAGAAATATCAAAGTGAGAGGAACACTGACTGGTTGCCTCCTGCATGAGCCCTGACCTGGGCCCAGGCCAGAGAGGAGCCTGCAACCTAGATACATGCCCTTAGTCAGAATTGAACCCAGAACCAGCAGTGGGCAGGCCAAGGCATTATCCATTGAGCAAAACCAGCTAGGGCAGGATATGACATTTCTTAGCCCTCCAGCAGTAGACCTTCTTTTTGTTCTCCAGGAGTGTGGTAAAAAACACTAGATCACTTATTTGGACTCTTATTACCCAAGTTACTAAGAATATTACCAGTGGCATACAGGGAGCTAAGCCAATGAACAGTCAGAAAAGGTGTTTCCTCTGTAGTTCACACCAATTGCTGGCTTGGCCCCTGCCCAGCCTAACGCCTCTGGCTGAGTCATTAGCCCTCAGCAGGGGACGTCCAGCTCCCTCAATCATCTGCTCAGCCCCTGCCCAGGCCTAATGCTTCTTGACCAGAGGCATTAGGCCTGGGCAGAGGACCCCCAGCTCCTACCATTGCCAGCTCTGCCCCTGCTACCCACGACCTCTGGCACCGCCCTTGCCCAGACCTAATGCCTCTGGCCAAGGTGTTAGGCCTGAGAAGGGGAGTCCCCGCTCTCCGCACCTGCCCAGGCATAACGCTTGTGGCTGAGGCATTAGGCCTGGGCAGGGGACCCCTAGCTCCCGTCATCAACGTGATGGCCGGCTCCACCCCTCCCCAGGCCTAATGACCAAGGCTTTAGGCCTGGGCAGGGGACCTCAAGCACCCCGCCATCAACGCGATCGCTGGCTCTGCCCCTGCCCAGGCCTAATGCTTCTGACTGAGGCGTTCGGCCTTGTCAGGGGACCCCCAGCTCTGTTGCTTGGCGCCTACGTATGCAAATTAACCACCATCTTTCTTGGCAGTTAATTTGCATATCGCCCTGATTAGCCAATGGGAAGCATACTGAAGGTACGGTCAATTACGTTTTTTGTCTTTTATTAGATAGGATTCTTCATTCCTCTAAAGGACCCATTTAATTTTTCAGCTTCCTAGGATGTGTACTAACCCATGCCTTCATTGTTGAGCATAAAGCATAGAGCTCTTGGTAGCTGCTAAGATGAATTATCATCGTTGCCACATGTTACCCTCACTGACACTAGGCACCAAATAGGTACTCAAGCAGTGCACATTTTTGCTATATCAGCTAATACATTTTCAACCTGTTTATAGGATGAGTGATTTGCTACATCGAAGAATGAGGACATTTTGGCTCTGGCATGACGTTTTGTACCTTTTGTTTAAAGATGGAAGGGATCACAAAAGGAAACTAAATATCTTACATAATTTTACCAACAATGTAAGTCCTCACTTTTTTTTTTATTGTGATCAAACATACCTAACATAAATTTATTATAATAACCATTTTAAGTGTGCCATTCAGTGGCATTAGGGGAATTAACAATGTTGCGCAACCTCTACCACTATCACTTTCTAGAACTTTTATAAGTGCATGACTCCATGTTTGTTAACATACCCAGTCATTAATGTTCCCTACTGGGGGAGGTTAATCTACTGGGGGAGTTTGTCTATAAATAAATAATTACAAAATGTGATATGTGCAATAATAGTTTATTAACAAACTGGGTGCTATGCTAAGATAATAAAGACACAGGGATCTGTGTTATAAGAATCTTCTGAAAAATGTTTGGATTAGGCAATGGTTTTCCAAGACAAAGGGCATTTATAGCAGTATCTTAAACTGGAAAAGATAAAAATTAACTAGATATTACCGTGGGGCCTTGACTTATGAGTTTAATTCGTTCCGAGACCGAGCTCATTAAGGAGCTCATTAAGGAGCTCGTTAACTCAAATTACTCTGTCAACTCAAAGCAAAAAATCTGCCAAGAGACTGCTGGTATCTCAAAAAAGTCGTTAGTCGGGACACTCGTAAGTCAAGGCCCCACTGTACTATTTAATTTTTAATGATAAGGAAATAGTAATGTTCTGGATATAGTCTGTCTTTGTGTTAAAAGTATGTTTATTAAAGGCAAACTTTAATTGAAAACATGCATTATAATTTAAATGTACAAATAAAAGTGCTGAAGTAATTATATTTATCCTTTACTGTAAATTATAGTTTAAAATATGATGGCATTGCTTCCTGAGAGCTTGTTTGGAGGTTCTAGCAGGGGAGCGCAGCTACTCGTATACCCTTGACCGAAGACCGGTCCTCTCCTCGGGGGGGGGAAGGTCGTCCTCTTCGACCGAGCCCGCAGCTTCGGGAGGGACGCACATGGATCGGTGAGGGAGGAGGGGGACACCCGCCTAGCCAGCCAGATCAGCCGAATCAACCCTGGCGATCAATGGGGTGACAGATGTCGCAGCCAGATCGCCCTCACATCCTAGCATTGCTTCCTGACAATGAGGTGCTGCCTCTACAAACAGATCAAGTGGTTAGAGCCCCTAGAAGTTAGATGAATGAGATGTTGGAGTTAGCTGCTGTCAGTGGAGTATAGCATAATTGCCTGGCAATAGGTGAACGGTGAACAGTTTGTATTTTATAGGTATAATTACCCTTGTCTTCAAATTTCATGCATTAATATCAGTATCAATAATGAATGAATTCCAAATGGGATGGATAATATCAAAAGTTGCATACTGAGTGCCAGGCACTAGGGGTTCCACCAAGAATCAAAGAGAGGACATGGTGCTTGCCATTATGGAACTTGGGATCTGTTCATGCAAAGCAGAAGCAGGTTTGGACAATTGCCTGAAAGGAGGAGAAAGTTGAAATGTGTAACCAAATTAAGCTCAGGGGCTTTCATTCTTTTATTCATTCAACACATACCTGATGAAATGTTTAAAATGCCAAGCAGTGTTCTAAAGGTTGGAAGTATATCAATGAATAAAAGACAAATTTGCTGGTACATTGAAGATGGAGGACAAAGTCACTAAATAACAATACAATGCCAGGTGGTAAGTGAAACGGAAAAAAGGTAAAGTAGGCTTAGGAAGAGAGTGAGTGCTAGGGACTAGGGTGTCAATGACCCTGACAGTGTGACAATGGGCAGCAGAGATCTACAACTAGGGAGGAAGCTAGTCATGCTGGCTTCTGAGGCAAGAATATTCTAGGCAGAAGGAGTGGCAAGCATACGTTATGATTCTTTTCCCCAATACAACACGTAATTAGAGTGATCTACAACTAGTTTTTTATATAATGATTGTGTTCTCTCCACCACCCCTACTTTTTCTCATGAGTTCTTTCAACTCGCTGGGCCCTATTCAGGAGACTACTACTCTATTCCCATGTTGGAAAGGCTGCAAACATAGTCCTTGGGAATTATGTATTTTGACATTAAATTTGTTTTTAAAAATCTTATCAAATAACGCCCTAAAAATGCTCATAGAAAGCTTTACTATGTTTTCATAAAAACCAAAGTTCCTGTTGAGTGAGACAGAACAGGAAAGGCTTAGGAAAAAATCAGTTAAAGAAGCTAGTATATTTTCACAGGACAATTATTATTAGGCCATATTAAATTCCACACAAAAGCATGTGATCATTTAAATCATACAGGTCATCAATGAACGGGCCAATGAAGTAAAGAGAGATGAAGAACGTAAAAGTGATGACAAGGGCATGACCCTCTCCAAGAGAAAACACAAGGCTTTTCTTGACCTGCTTTTAAATGTGATGGATGATGAAGGGAACAAGCTAAGCCTGGAGGCTATTCGAGAAGAAGTGGACACTTTCATGTTTGAGGTATTTTGTGTTGTTATGTTAGTCTCAGGTATCATCATGAAACAAATTATAGTTCCTGGTACATAACAAGAAAACTTTTTTTTTTTAATTTTGGGAGTTGAAAATGCTAAGGATGAAGAAATAGCCAGCACTAATACTTAGACATGTTTAAGCATTTAATAGAAAAATTAGAAATAACATGAAATACAACGAATTATTTGTAGCCACCTTTTAAAATATGTTGGGATGCTTGGTATAAGGGATGATCTATTCTCAATTTCTTTTTAACTTAAAAAAATAAAAAATTTATAGGAGTTCTTTAAAAATGTTTTTAGCATTTTTTAAAATTCTGATCACATTTTGAAGTAGCTTGTTATAACTGATGAAGAGTCATTATATTGTAGTTAGAAATTACAAAGTTTAAGACCCTAATTAAATACCAGACCAACTTTCTTTTTCAGAAAAAGCTATCAACTTGTATGGTTTTTTTTTTCTTCCCAACATCAGGTCAGTTTTCTGTCATTATTTCTTCAAACAGGTTCTCTATCCATTGCTCTGCTTCCTCTCCTTCTGGCACTCCTATTATCTGGGTGTTATTTCCTTTTGTGTTTTCCCAAAGCTCCCTTAGGCTCTCCTCCTGCTTTTTAAGTTTTCTTTCCAGTTGCTGCATTTGTGTGTTTTTTCCTACCTTGTCTTCTAATTTGCTGAGTTGGTCCTCAGTCTCTTATAATCTGCTGTTAAAGCCTTCCATTATGTTCTTTATTTCAGCTAGGTCATTCCTCATTTCCTCTTGATTCCTTTTCATGTTGGTGACATTCTTATTCAGCTTCTTATAATTCTCATTGAGTTGTGTGTATTTGTCATCCGGACCTTTGACCATCCTTACAAACAATACTCTGAATTCTTTCTCTGATAAGTTACTTGCCTCCATCTCATTTAATTCTTTTTGTGGTGATTCCTTTTTTTCTTTCCTTTTGGGATTGTTTTTATGTCTCCCCATTTTTTTTTCATTTTTGTAAAATTAAATCTTTATTGTTCAGGTTATTACAGTAGTTCCTCTTTTTTCCCCTCATAAATCCCCTCCACCCAGGTCCCACCCTACCTTCTGCCCTTACCGCCCCCCCTCTCCCACTGTCCTCATCCTTAGTTGTACGATTTTTGTCCAGTCTCTTCCCACACACGCACAACCCTTTCCCCCCCAAGAATTGTCATTCCATTCCCTTTCTAAGCCCCTGATTCTATTATATTCACCAGTTTATTCTGTTCATCAGATTATTTATTCACTTGATTTTTAGATTCACTTGTTGATAGATGCATATTTGTTGTTCATAATTTGTATCTTTACCATTTTCTTCTTCTTCCTCTTCTTAAAGGATACCTTTCAGCATTTCATATAATCCTGGTTTGGTGGTGATGAACTCCTTTAGCTTTTCATTATCTGTGAAGCTCTTTATCTGACCTTCAATTCTGAATGATAGCTTTGCTGGGTAAAGTAATCTTGGTTGTAGGTTCTTGCTATTCATCACTTTGAATATTTCTTGCCACTCCCTTCTGGCCTGCATAGTTTCTTTTGAGAAATCAGCTGACAGTTGTATGGGTACTCCCTTGTAGATAACTAACTGTTTTTCTCTTGCTGCTTTTAAGATTCTCTCTTTGTCTTTTGCTCTTGGCATTTTAATTATGATGTGTCTTGGTGTGGTCCTCTTTGGA